CATAACTAAAACCGGTCTTTGAAAACTTCTCAGATACAGTCTCTTACAGATGTTTTAAAGGCAATGTAAAATCAGAATAAAATTAGAAAAATCTGAAAGGTCCAGTTTCCAGGAACTCCAATAACATTTAAGTGCCTAAAGACCCCAGAAAAATCTGGCAAAATCTCAAGTACTCTTCTAGTTGAATTTCTTAACTTTTTTTTTTCAGAGCAGCTTGATATTAAAATGAAATAATATTATACATATCCTCAGTTCACCACCCACAGAACAATACAATTTTAATGTTTGAGGGAAAAACCCATTTATTGTTGTGCCTTCACCTAGCTTTAATTTTACCAACTAGAAAACAAGCTTAGAGAATTTCGGAGTTACCCACAGGTCACAACACTGACTGATGATTTCAAGAAAGGCTCAAAAATTCTGATTTCCATATTGATTTTTCCTCCCACTAAATCAATATCAAAACCTATGTTAATTTTGAGGACAATGGTGATTCTGCTATACATTTATACTCTCAGGTATGTAGTTCAAATGAGGAGGGTCCTTAACATCAGCCCTGTGCTGCCAGACCTCTAAAGAAAAGCAAAAGAGTTAATTCTTGATCCCTAGTTTCCAAAAGTAAGCTATAACCAAGTTTTAGGAAACCAATCACAAAAGGCCAAATTCAAAAATTCTACCTACATCTGAGTTACACAAAATGATCCCTTTTATAAATATTGCCCAGGAAGACTTATATAGAGTTACTGGATTGGTCAGAGACAGATTTAAGACTAACAAGAGAATACAATAGTATTTCTACACCAGCATTCTTTAAAGCCATAGTTTGCAAATTGTCACCTGTCCTAAAGGAGATAAGGAGTGTAAACTAAATAACAGTTCATTTACATTCATGCACAATCTCAAGGACAGTAAAAAATTCACATCAAGGGGCACTGTCCTCTGGTGGCTCAGGAGGCTGAGGCAGAAGGATCAAAGCCAGCAATTTAGCAAGGCCCCAATAAGGAACTCAATGAGACCCAGTCTCTAAATAAAACACAAAAAAAGGGCTAGAGATTGATGCTCAGTGGTTAAGTGCCTCAGAGTTCAATCCCCAGTACCAAAAAAGTTCACAAACCAGAACCCTGAAGAACTCTGGTCAACTACACTGTCAAATCCTAATATCTTACCTAACAAAACATGTATTAGGGTACTACATTGTAATCACAAACTAAATAACTTTATCTCATCTTTACCCAATTTCCATACTCAAATAGGTTAAGGAAAAAGAAAATGCTCCAAGTAATGAATTTAAAAAATACTCGTGAGCAATGGCAGGTTTCTAACTTCTTTATTTTACAAAACAAACAAACAACAACAACAACAAAAAAAAAACAACACTGAGAACTAAACTTAAAAGGCTTTTCTAAATTAGGCTTGAGGTGGAGGCCAACATAAGCATTCTCCAAGTGTCATCCAGGAAACACTGGGAATCCTGACATCTTTTGCAAGACTGAAACTATTTTCAGAATATTACCAAAATAAATCTAATTGTCTTCTACTGTTAGGCATTAAGAGATGGTTCAATGTCTTTTTTTTTAAGAAAAGTTATTTTTTCATAAAAATGTTATACACATTAACATTGTGTTTATGATATTTAAAATGAATTGTTTCCTTAATACATTTTGATTTTTAATGTGGCAAATACTGGTGAGGAGTGAACAACATAAGTAAGTTTCTTGGGGAAAAAACTGAAAATGGATGCTCTTAAAAAAAAAAAAAAAAAGTTAAGGCACATATCAAATCTCTCCCTAAATTCAAAATATCTCAAGTGAATACACCTTTTTCTCTTCTATTCTCCTAAATTCAGTCACACTACCACTTCTCTAAAACTAGGGAAGATGGATGTTAATCTTATAATTCACGAATTAATCTTATTAATTGTTAATAACAGCTTATTAAATAATATTAAATGTAGCCAGGCATGGTCATGCACATCTGTAACCCCAGGACCTTTGGAGGCCGAGGCAGGAGGACTGTGAGTTCAAAGCCAGCCTCAGCAAATTAGCAAGGCCCTTAACAACTTACTGAGACCCTGTTTCTAAATAAAATATGAAAAGCGCTGGGAATGTGGCTTAGTGGTTGAGTGCCCCTGGGTTCAATCCCCAGTACCAAAATAATAATAATAATAGTAATACAATAGTAGTAGTAGTAGTAATAATGATGGTGGTATTTCTTATAACAACTTCATGATATTCTAAGAATTCTCTGATGTCTTAATACTTCTAGGTCAGATTAGTTAGAGATTAGATCTCAGGAAACTCAAACATAAAAACTCTGAAATACATAGAATACTTAACTGCTAATAAAGAGGGACTGGAATATGAATACAAAGTCACACAGAATTGAGTTTAAAGCACTTCCCACAACTTCAAACTGGCAGAGGATATTTAGGGAAGTTCCATTAGAGTGGTTTTAAGCAGGAACAATTTTTTTTTCCTAAGTGAAGAAATTCAGAAATCTTAAAGAAATCAAATAAGCATTATGAATCTAAAACAGATTATCTGTCTATAAGCCTGACATTATTTTAATTGAAAAGAGGCATTCAACAAGCTTTTCCTCAAGATTTGTCATGAGACAAGCTCTCATCTTAAACATAAATGTTTACAATAGCACTGAGGAAGGACCTGCATATAATATCTTAATCTAATAATGGAAGAAAGATTTTTACCTTGATTTTCAACAGTTAAACTTCACCAAAAAAAAAAAAAAGAAAAACTCATCCACACAAGCAAGTCTGTGTAAGTAACTAAATAATATTATTAATGATTTTTAATAATATTGTTATTGATTTAAAGCCTGAAATCCTCAAAGAGAAAAACACCCCAATTTTGTTTAAGCTATAGTATATTTTAACCCAGATTAAAATAATGTGTTAACTCCAACATATAGGCACAGGTATTGACTTTCTCAATAGGATTTCAAAATCTCAGGAAAAAATACGTAGAATCATAAAAGGGATGGAAATCATATAGGTTCTACATAGCAAAGCAGAGGAAACAATTAAGACTGTAAAGACAGAATCTACAAAATAGATGAAAAGCTTTCTGGATACTCTTCTGACAGAAGATTATATCTAGAACATAAAAAGAACTCACTTCCCCACCCCCCCCCCCCAACAAAAAAAAAAAATCCAATTAATAAACAGTCAAACAAACTAAACAGACAACTTCTCAAAATGGCTAACAAATATCGAGAACAAGTTCAACATCTTTAGCAATCAGGGAAGAACAAATCAAAACTACACTGAAATTTCATCCCACACCAGTTAGAATAGCAGTTATTCATACAAACAATAGTAAATGCTGAAGAGGATGTTTAGAAAAAGGAACTCTATACTGTTGGCAAGACTATAAATTAATACAACCACTATGGAAATCAATATGGCAGTGCCTCAAAAAACTAGAAATGGAACCACCATATGACCCAACCATACCATTCCTAAAGAATTAAGGTCAGCATAGTATAGTGATAACATGCATAACCATGTTTATAGCAGCACAATTCACAACAGCCAAACTATGGTACCAGCCTAGGTGTCCATCAATGTATGGCTGGCTAAAGAAACTGTGGTATATACACAATGGAATTTTACCCCAACCATAAAGAATGAAATTATGTCATCTGCAGGAAAACAGATGGAACTTAAGAACATTATGTTAAGAAAGTCAAGAGTCATGTTTTCTCTCATATGTAGAAGCTAGAGAGAAGAAGGAAAAAACACATGTGTATGAGGGGATAATTTATGAAAATGAAAGAGACCAGCAGAGTAGAAGAAAAGAGACCAGGGGACAGGGCAAGGAAAAGAAGGGGAAAATATTGAGGAACAATATTGGCCAAATTATATTGTTATAATGGGTACATGTACAAATATGTAACAATAAATCCCACCATTATGTATAGTTACAACACACCCATAGAAATACGAAAAACATAATTGTGTTAGTGTATGCTGTTCGTTATTGAAGTATTCGGTAAAAAATTTTTATGTTTACTAGTCACTCAAAAACTTGATCTTTAGAACAAAAATATCAGTCAACAAGTAATCAAAGTCATAAATGTTCAAATGCTAACTTCTCAGTTAAGAGTAAATCAAACAATTTGTAAATACTATTCTTGTCATGCCCACTGGATAATTAATGTCAAAAACCAAACAACCAAACAAAAATTAAAAGAACTCTAAGGTAATTTACATACCTACAGTTGAAATCTAAGAAAAGAGGAACCTTCTGAAAACAACAAAATGTTCATTCTATTCTGATAATGGCTTTCAGTTTCCACTCACAGTTAAATCCCTGGTATCCCAATGGTTTATCTTTCAAACATATCTGATGCCATTATTTATTCTTCCTAATTTCACCAAGTTAATAACCCAAATAATAAAAATGTTTTCCCTGAATAAGTGGTTTTGGTTTTATTCCTAAAATTTTTTTTAAAAAAGCACAATCTACATGAGCTGCCACTTTAATAACAGAAGACAAATACCATATCTAAATTTCCAGTGATAAATAGGACTGTATGTTAATGTTTATAAATTAATGGGCCATTTTTCATGAAAACCAAGAAATTCTCTAAAATCTTTGAGCTTGCGGCTTACTAAACACGACTATTCTCAAGTAGCTTGATGTACCTACAAAAGTATATCAAGCTGTTGTCTCAGCCACAATTCCACCCTTCTATTGTCTGCTCTGTGAGGGTTAAGGATGGAAAAATGCAAAATATACTTATATTTCACAGATGAATTCCTGTTAGATGTACCACAGATGACTGAAAGGCAGGAGGAAACCCTAGCATCAACACGTTCTAGTTTTCAGTTCTACACTACCCCACTTCAACAAGTGGCAAAACAGTAGAACCAAAATTCTTTCAACACTACTTAAGGTATGGTTATCAGCAAAATATCCAAGGCAAAATGTGTTGTCCATAGCCTTTTTTTCTAACTGTTCTTTCTTTCCTATAATGTATTTTTCCACCTTGATACATGCCATTTTTTTAAATTGCTAATCAAATGTTACTTTACCTTTCACTAGCTCTCCACTGCCTTTGTGTATAATTCATATTCTTTAGTAAGAAACATCATTTTTTAATGATCTGGCCCCATCTCTATAACCAAATTCCTGTCATTTTTCCACAAAACTTTTGTAGATTTCCAAGCATGCTGTTCTGCCCCACACATTGGTGTTATCCTTTGTAGACAAAACACTAAAGTCTTCAACTGGCCAAGTTATATTTAACCTGTCAGCAAGCATTACTTGTTTCTTCCTAATTGAAGCTAGGAATCCCCGTCTTGAGTGCTCTCCAAAGCAACTTAAACACCCACTGCAATGTTTACTTCTCTGTCTCCACTATAGGTCAAAAATTTCCTTTACAATGGGCTACATTATCTTAGTCCTATGTATATTATCTAGCCTAGTAAATTGAAATTTACTAATCTTCTATCAAATGAATATATTAGAAATTTCATTTGAACCTGTGACACTAAAAAATTCAAAAGTAGTTAATAGCTGCTTCATTTTCCTAAACTTTTGCAAATAATGGAAATTCTTCACAGGTTTCATGCCCCTGAAAACAGGGACCTTTTATCCCCAACAGTCTGATAGAGTATGTATAGTACATGATAGTAATAAACACATGCTGTAATAAATTCACATACTATGGAAAGAGAGCAATCTTAAGTTAAACCACTTTATTATTAACTAGAAGTTTTCAGATAATACAAAGGCAATATTTTATTTTGTATAGAAATACTCATAAAATTAGTATCAAGTAAATATATTAGGAAAAGGTCAACCTTCTCAGGAGGCTGAAGCAGTGTCAGCAACTTAGTGAGGCCCTAAAAAACTCAGTGAGACCCTCTCTCTAAATAAAATACAAAAAGTTAAGTGCCCTTGAGTCTTAATCCTCAGTACAAAAAGGGGGGGGTGGTAAACTTTGATTAAAACATTTTTAAAAAACCAAAACATTAGATCTAAAAATGACCTGCTATAGAATTTATGTTTCAGTAATTTTTTTTTTAATTTGGAAATTAACATAATACTTACTGCATCTGAAGTTTTGCTTGGATTATTGCTTGGATTAGAAGAATGTGAATTTGAACTATGAAGAGCACTATGGTTGTGTGAATTTTCTTGTGGAGAGTAACTGGTCCCTTAAAAAAAAAATAAAGAACAAAGAGAATTAGAACTTTATTTCATCTGGTTTTTATCATACCAGAGATCATTTTATATCTTTAAATCAACACTTCATATGACCATTAGGAATAGAGATAATTTACACTTCTCATGCTATATCAAGTATTTATAACCCTATCATGAATGTGCACTAAAAATATGTTACATAGCTGATAACATATATGAAACAATGCTTTTTTACAATTAGATGAACAAAAATCTATATCACTGCTAGCAATTTAGATTTTTTAAAAAGAAAAATTTACTGAAAAAAATCACAGGGGCTGGGATTGTGGCTCAGCAATAGAGCGCTCGCCTAGCACATGCGAGGCCCTGAGTTGGATATTCAGCACATAAAAATAAATAAACAAAATAAAGATGTTGTTGTCCAACTACAACTAAAAAATAAATATTTCTTAAAAAAAGAAACACACAATATACACAGAAATTTATAAAAATTCAACTGACGAAACTAAAAGTTACCATTATCACTGTTCTTACATATTTTAATTTCTTATAAATAATTCTAACTTGCTTACTAATAGTCTTGCCAATTTTTAAAATGAAATAGCATGAAAGTTTTCAAGCTGTCCCTCAAGAGAGGGACACTCAGTATTTTCTAACAGGACCAACTCCATTTAACAATTGTTTCAGAAAAACTCTTGAATCTTATGAATAATCTACACATCTCAACAACTGTCAAGGATGATGGTTTCTCTAGTATTATAAGAAAAACCAGGGTATAAAAATCCAAACTTAAAAAAACTTGTTAATGATACACAACTGAAGGTGGGAGGAGTGTATTTAAATGGTCCAGTGAGCTATGAATTAGCAGTCAGAATCACAGCAGGTAAGAGTAGAAAGGAGTTAAGAAGTAATTACTTTCATTAGAAAAAAATAAATGGCTAAAAGGAAAACTGAACTGAGACAGATGACGACGACTGTAAGGTTTCAGGTACTCAAAATAAAAGAGCAGATCTATATAAAACTAGAACTTGGGGGAAAAAAAGGGCATACTTAGCTTCCCAAGTCTTCTCCATTAGAGGTCAAAAGAAGACCAACTGCCTTACAATAAACATGTGGAAGAATATATGGCAAGAGAAATGGCAATGGCCATGATTTAATCCTGGATAAGGATACTCTTCATAAAGGGAAGCTATAAGCAGATTCAAATACCCCACAAAATTACAGATGTCATAAAAGACAAAAAGAGAATTACTTTAAATACATACAATGGTTACTTAAGGACAATGTAAGGATGGAGAAAATTTATCAAGAAGCTTGATGCTGGAGAGAGGCTGATGATTTCTTCACCCACTTGTTTTACTGTATGTTATCTACTTATGTAAAACATCCTAAACCCCCTTTTTAATATAGAAGGCAATAAACGCTTTATGAATGAACACAAAGCTATCAGTCAAAATTAACAGAACAGATGTAAGACTACTTTCCCTTTCAAAGGCCTGCTTGCATAGTACAGGCCCTTGGCAGTCATGTGGGGACCAGGATTTCAGTAAAGTTTTAACTGTTCCTTGTACCTACGCTGTTTGTGCCTAAAATAGTCTGTTAAGTACTTGCTTTATAAACAGAAATCTAAACTGTTTGTGTGTATTAAGCAGAGGGTACCTACAAACTAGCCAAATCCAAATTTTAAAACAGAAAACATTTAGTATCATCACAATCTGCTGCTGAAAGAAATGAAGTGCATCACTTGTCCCAGGCTACAAGGAGATAGATAACTTAGGAAGCCTACATCTATATTCCTCCACTTTGTCCCCATATGCCTTTCCCTTTTCATTTTATACTATAATTAAGCCACAGCCATGACAATGACTACTGTCTTGGTCCTGTGAGCCTTCAGACAATCATTGAACATGGGACTGGTCTTAGGATCCCCAATGCTTAGTAACAAAAATTACTGCCTCAAGTTCTCAATAAAATCTTGGCTCTATGCTAAACTTTCTGCTTTTCAGCTATAACTCAGTTTTTTAAAAATTAGTTTTACATCATAATAAGAAATATTCAGAAATAATAAGGACTACTAGAATATCTTTTATACTCTGCATGTTGATATTTTCATGGAAACTTCCATAAAATAATGTCAAGAATGGAAGAAAAGTCAATGTTACTGACTAAAATGACCCCTAAGTAATCTACTAAAGCCGCCTAGATTAGATACCCTTCTCTGATACTTATTTGCACACAGTCTTAACATAATGGTCTATGCTTAAATCTACAAAAGGGGGAAAATTAAGTGTCCAGACATAATAGGTAAAGTGCTCTGTGAACATAAGATTTTAAGTTTAATGATCTCTCACAAGGTTAAGATCCAGGAATCTACTCCCTTAGTGATATCAATGAAAATTCAAATGAGATCCCAATAAGTAAGCTTTTTCCTCTGAAAAAAACAGAAAGTCTTCCATCAGCCTGACAGAAGACTAAATGTCTAATATGTGGGTTTTCAGTGGGCATGGTGGCGGTGGCGGTAGCGGCAGCAACAGCAGCATCAGCATCATCACCACCATCGGAAGCAACAGGAACACTAGCCCCAGAACTTAAGAAGAAAACTGAATCCACTGTTAAAGAGAATACATTTTCAGAGAGGGGAGGTTCCAAGATAGGGACCAGATTCTACATCCTACAGAACAAATTTACCTAGGCTACTTAGGGGATTTAGCCAAGAAAGCCACACACGTGTAACAGGTATTTCTGATATGATGTTTTCTTTGAAAAACTTTTGAAATTCTGCAATATGGTACAGTAAAAGTAAGTCTTGTGAAAGAATAGGAGCAAACCACTGCATTATGCAACCAGAGCACTAGAAAACTTGAGGCAAACAGCTCCAAGTGGTTATAGACTGCTTCAAGGGATATTAAAAATGCAAAAAAGCATTAGGATAGAAATGCAGCTTGCTGGGGCTGAGGACATGGAGGTGGAAGTGAAGCTCTTAGCATTGAAGCTATTGTTACAGTGGACAAAGGAAAAAATGCAATTTGACACACAGAGTCATGAAAAGATAAAGAAGCAAACTTGAATTTTCTTTAGGTGCCTTGCCTGGGCAGCAACAAGTACAATAACAAGACAATGTCTCTGGGAGAGAAGAGAACAGATTTGATGTGTCAACCATAGACTTGCATTTGACATTCAGCTATTGGAGTTACTTTTAGATGTGTGCTCTATTCAGTGGTAGCCACTGGTCACACATAGCTACTGAACACTTGAAACAAGGCTTAAGAATTGAGATTTGCTGTATGTATAAAATACACACCAGATTCAAAGACTCAATACAAGAGAATGCAAACTCTCAGTAACACTTTTCATACCGACTGCATTATTACTTTGGATATATTTGATTAATAGTACACAAAATCAAAACTAATTTTAAATAGTGCCTACTAGAAAATTTAAATTGTGTACCTAGCTCATTGGACAGCAAATGCTCTAGATGAAGGCACCCACTGACATAAAGTAGAAAGGGGATAGGGATGTCCACTGTGCACAGGACATTCAAAGAACTATCCTATGTCTGTCAGAAAAATCTGTAATCAGATGAGTTTAGAACCCATTCCACCTTAAGACAGTATGCTGAATTTTCTAGAAACATAAGTGCTATGCAAATTGTAAGGTATAGCACTTAAAATTGTTTGGAACTTTTACCAGAATGTTTACAACTCGGAAAAAATATCATCTCTGACAGTAATGCAAAAAATACATCTGTACTGTATACATCATAAATAAATGTTACCAGGATTCCTTTGTTAACGGGAGTTAGAACCAAACATTAAAGTGGCAGAGATAACTCAAAAATATTGCTCTCACTGAATTACATTAATAAAGCTTGAAAAATAGTACTGCCACACTGAATTATATATTAATAGTACTTTCCACAGGGAGAACAGCAGCCGATTTGGATTCCAGAGAGATTAAGTAAAGCGATTTCTACAGACCAAAAAAAAAAAGATGATTTGGCTCAAATCCATAACAGCTGATATTCAGAACTCCAGTTTGGCTATTCTTACATCTGCGACAGTGATTCTCCCACACCTGGAGGCTAATGAATAATGAACACCATTAAGGCTTATTTCAAATGTAAGAAACCTTGGGGCTTACTTGTGGGAATACCTTCAGATTCATATGCAAGTTACAGGAAGAAGGATGGGATATCATAAGAAGAGTCAAACCCAGGTGGTAACCAGGATGCTTTTTTTTCAATATCTGTTTTATTATTGCCTTTTCCCACATCATGAAGTTTTATTTTATTTTTTGAGCTCATACAGACCTAGGTTAATGTTTTGCTGATCAGTTCTATTTTTTGACTGTGGAGTTTTTAAACATTGCAATGGAGATTTCACCTGTGAAAAGTTACAAGGCCTTTACTATTATGTTATGTGTTGTATGTCTGTATGTGCGTATGTCCATATATATGAGGAGCGCTCATGAAAAAAATGGATCAGAATATTTTTTTATTCACGTGATTTAAATGGTTTAATTTAAATTGGGTAAACAGCTGTTAAGGATTGTGGTTAAAAGATCTGTTTACTTTCACCTTTCCTTTTAATTATATTTAATAATTCTGTTCAGGATAATGTAAATTTTTCAGAAAGTTGTTTTCTTAGTGTCTGCTGGAATGTTACATAATATTTTTTTTAGCCATCATTGGCAGAATTCCTATCTTCATCCCAGTGCCGGTGAAGACAAAGATAAAACTAAACTACAGCTTCTTCGATAGCTATCACAGTAAACTGTATAAACTGATGCACCAATGAGTAATAACTCAACAAGTGATGCTCAATCAAGGAGTCGATTTACTTTGGGAAGAAATGGACATATTAATGGATTCCTCTGCTTTGAACTGTTTGCAGAACTTGCCTGGACTATGTATCACTTGCATGCATTGTGAACTATCTGTTGGTGCAGGGAATTGTGGTATTGCTGGGGTATCTTTGCTGATGGTGTCATTGGTGGTACCATTTTTCCA